ATATAAATATTGATATAACATTTACTTTAATGACGGATATTTTGAGATCGTTCCGCAATTTATATAAAATTAATATAAATATTTATATGATAATAGTAATGTATAATCATTTCAATTGTATAATGTTGCGGTATATCACAAATGGGATATTTCGTAAATTTAGAAAAGAATGTTGCGTTGCCGCGAGGGCGAATATTAATTTCGCATGCATAATGTATATAATTTTATAAGAAATATCGTATACAATATATACGCGCTATATTTCTACGTATAAATATTTTATATTTTATAAATTCCACGCAAAAATATCACGTCCAATTATGAAATTTTAATTCTCGGTTTTTCAAAGAAAATTTCATATTTTGAATCAGCATTTTTTTTAAGCGCATTACCCGGCGTTGTTACACCAAATGAATTTTTCATTTCATTACGACAACATCCGCGGCAGATTTTCGACGAGATTAAGAGTCTACGTTTTGTAATTGTAACATTGAAGCAAAGGTCCGAAAATGACGTTTACACGTCGCCGAGCAGTCTCGCACGTTCGAAGAAGCGTCGGCGGTCATTAATCCGCGATTTACAAACGACAGTATGCTAATACATTAATCGTAATCGCGCGCACGAGCGTTGTTTGCGTTCCCGTCGATTAATGCACGCGATTTATGCGCGGTTTATGCACACACTCGCGGCGAAATTGACGATAGCAGGCCGGACTTTCGTGTTTGCAGCACGGGGGAGGAAAGCAAATCGCGAATATCGGCGCCGAATGTTTGCGTCGATGCGACGCTGGTCGGTGTAATGCATCCCCCTTCGAAAGTGCACCCGCGCACACGATACGCCGAATCCATTGCGCCCGGCGGTTTAGCGCGACAGTCGTTAACGGCGGCCCGCTGCATCGAACTTGGCGATTTAACGTTCCGGGCGCGAACGCGCGTCGCGCCATACATATTCAGTGGCCTAATAATTAGGAGTTAATACACCTGAGCGGCATTATTTCAATTTAATGCCGGGCGCCATGGCGAAATCGCGAATGTTGGCGAAATCACCGCTGCGAGACCGACGACCCGCCATTCCCCCGCGTCGCGACATCGGACGTTACGTAATTCACGTGTCCTATGCGTTTACTGCGCCTTTAGTCTCAGGCCAACGGCACACGATTCTGTTTCTCCTACTGGATTGCTTACGAGAGCCTATCAAGATTGGGCCTTAAAGCAAACGGTACACGATACTATTTTTCGAGAACCTGTGACTACGTTTCCACCGAGGGTCAGAGTCGGGCTAGAGTCGGGTCAGAATCGGGTTGGGGTGAGCGTTTTTGCGGTGGAAACACCTAACCCCAACCCGATTCTGACCCAGTTTGGTGTTTCCACCGCAAAAACGCTCA